ATTAAGAATAGGTATTAATATTTATGAAATAATAATTAAGAACTGCATGGAAAATCCGAACTTATCCATGCACAGTTTAGGACCTAAAACATGGAAAGGTACAGAATACTTTATACAAGTAGCAATAGATCATCATTCACGTTTTATGGTGACTAATATAACTAATAAAACACCTAATTCTATGGACGCAATTAACATTATAAAGAAAACATGGATACCCATATTTGGATGCCCTATAAGCATTTTAACAGATAGCGGTTCAATTTATACTAGTCAAGAATTTCATGACTATATTACAAAAGAATTACAGGGTAAATGGTATCATACCAACGCATATTATCCACAAGGAAACGATATAAATGAAAGCTCTCATAAAAGCTTAGATTATATCATTAAAACTTTATATGAAGAAAAAGATCTACCTTTTTGTAGAAATAGTACAAAATGCAGTACTAATATGTAATAATACACCTCATGGAGCTATAGGAGAAACACTCTATTTTGCTATGTTTGGAATAGATTGTATCTGTCCAGAGTCTGCAAAATTAGTACGAGAAGCAACCTCTGAAATGAGGGTTATATACTTAAACGATAAATGGAAAAACATACATGAAGATGTTAATGAAATCAAAAGAAAACCTATAATTGAGAATAAAAATATTAAGGTTTAAGATATTATCTCATACGAATTATCCGAATACCAAAGGAATAAAATTAAGAAATATAGTAGGAATATACAATATAAACCATATTAGTGATTTCCTCATAGAGTAGCTAAAATTGAAAGCAGAATTATGAAAGCATTACTTATATATTATAGAGGTAAAGAAGTACAAATTCCAATGTCAAATATAAAATTGTTTAGTAACAAAACCAGGGAAATATATTAAAGGCAACTGCACAATTTAATACAAGTTACGAATAAAAATAAAAGGAATTTAAATCTGATGCATGATATAAAGTCTAAATATTACCTAGATATTCATAAATGGAGTAGTATCATAACGTGTGATATCAACGATAATCAGGACAAATATATTGAAAAAGGAGTACAAAAAGGAATTGATGTAATAAAACAATAATACAAAAATAACAAACTTTAAGTAATAACCATTACGTTCCCATGGTAGTTAATTATGATTAATAAAAGGCTTTATTAACCTTTTTGGAAAATAAAAGGACTAGTTAAATGAAGAATACGAAGTTGGTCATGCACATTCACATAAAAAAAAAATTGATGATTATTTTTTTTGTTTGTACTTTTTTTTAAAAAAAAAGTACAAAGACTGCCAGGAATAAAATTTGATAAAAACATGCAAAGATCGTCAGGAAAAAAATTGATTAAAAAAATCAATTAGAAAAATATTTGTTACCAATTAATAAATATAAAAAAAAAAAAAAAGAACAAAAAAGATTTTTTTTTTTGGTAATTAATTATTATTTTAATGAATTTTGTAAGAGAAAATTTTATACATATAAAAATAAAATTTTCATGTAATTAATATTTTTATAATTTTTGATATTTGTATATAATTGTTTATGTTTGTTAATTTAACAGCAATATATATTAATTGCTGAATGTAACTCATAATAAATAAAATAGTAATTTACAATTAATTAATAATTAATGTTAAATAAGGATTTAAATTGTTAATAAAAATAAAGATTTTTATTAAAGTAAATAAATGCCTATTGAAATTAAAGAATGCTGAATGAAGTAGATTACGTAAATAAGGATCACTCATTCAAAGCATATAAAATATATAAAAATACATCAAAACCTTAGAGGCAACTCTACATGCTCTTTATTAATTCGTTTGTTCAGTATTCTAATAAAGTCACCAACACCCAGTTAATAAAACATGCACAAATGTATAATAAATAAAAATAAAATTGTTTACTTTAAAATAAATAATTTTAAAAATAAGCACTAAATATATACCGATAACCAGAATTTAATTAATCCATACACAACAAATAAAATTACAAAAAATTTAAATCAACAAACAACCAATAACTATAATCATAATAAATTTATATCCTTTTTACATAACCTTCAGCCTTTTCCTCACAACATGCATATTCAAAATAAATATTATAAAATTCAACAATAAAATTTTTATAAAATTTAAACCATGCCATAATTTTCATACAGTCAACTTATCTTTTACTTTCTCTTTATTTTTAATATACTTATGTAATTATTAATCGTAATATTAACTTAATAATATAAATAAATAAAAATAATAAAAATTATAAAAAATTTTAAATAATTGTTAAATTTTTAATAATTAAAATTTATAAATATAATTACAATTATAAATATTCATAAAAAAATATGTTTCATCTTTAATATTCCCTTAAAAAAAATAAACAACCTTCATAAAAATAAAATAAAATAAAATACTTATAAAAATAAAATAAATTTACTTTTCTCACGGATTTTTTATGTAAATTATCTATTGTAATTTATCTTGTAAGAGCACAAATATATAAAAAAAAAAAAATTGAATAAAATAATTAATTTTATTTTTATTTATTTTTTTTTTATTTTTTTTTTTTTTTTTATAAAGAAATATCAATCAGTCCCTTAAATTCGACTCATATTTTCACTTATTTATTTTTTCGATATAAATATTTTTTTTCTAAAAAATTTTTGTTCGTAAACTATTGTTATTTTAATCTTCTAAAAAGATTATAAGAAATAATTGTAAAAAAAATAACCAAATAATAATTTGTGTTTCTTTTTGTTTATAATAAAAAATCCTAAAATAATAAAAAATATTTCCTTAAATAATGTTAGATATATATATATATATGTATATTACCAAATAAAAATTAATAAAAAAATAAAAAATTTAATATAATTTTAACGAAAAAAATAAAGTGCATTACCCACTAACATAAACTAATTTTTTTTTTTTTTTAATACATGTATTTCTATACAAATAAAACTAAATTATAGTGCACTTGTTTATCGCTAAAAACATAAATATTAAAATAATGAAAATTAGAGTAGTTTGATCAGTGTTTAAAATTTAATAATTTAACAACAAATAATGTAGCTTTTNTAAAATAGTATATTGTAGTTGCTGATTTTAGAATTTACATATATATATTTTATTTATTTTTTTTTTTGCTTATTTATATATTTTATGAAAGTATCAATTAGATCCTTTAAAAAAATAATTATAAATTATTATGTACATTATTTTATTTATATATAAATTCCATATACTACTTATAAAATTTTATTTCTTCATCTGTTCAAAATTCATTTTCAAAAAAATTTTGTATAAAAATATAATATAATAATTAAATTTTTTATTCAAAATATCAAAGTTAAATAATTGTATCATTATTTCTAACTTATATTTATATTCATATAATTATATAAAAAATTTAAGAAAATTCATAAAAAATCCTTAACATGATTTCTTTTTTTCATATAAATTTCATAGTATAATATAATGCTTTACTTTAACTATTGTTTTCTTTTTTTTTTTTCTTAATGTTAATCTTATAAATTAAGTTTTTATTTTATTTATCACAATTTTTCATTCTTTTTAAAAATTAATTACATCATTATTATATGGAAATTACAATAATTTAATATTTTACATAAATAGAAAATAAAAAAATTCTTCTGCTCCGAATTGTTATTTTATATTACATAAAATGACATTTTCACATATAAACAACTTTATGATATAGTTATTACATAAGTACAAGTGTTGTCATTTCTACATAGAAATTATAACAATTTCCTCATGTTATTTAAATATTCATTGGTACTGCAAAATAACAAAAATAGTAGTATTAAATTTTTTAGTCAAATTATATTATTTTTCTTTAATTGGATTATTGAATACCTTTTTAATGTATGATAAAATTTAAATGTAAAATAAATGTATATTATATATATTACCTTTTTCTCTTCCTCAAATTTTTACTTTTATACGTTATTGATATAAAAATTTATTTTTTTTAATAAATCATTTTTTAATGTTATTACAGAATATTTTAAGAAAACCTAGTTGTGATATAATAATCATGAGAAAAAATTCTACCTCAAAAAATGCAAGATTATTATCACAATCAGAAGAAATTCCCTGCATATCAAATCAAATAAATGCAACAGAAAACAATGCTAATTTATCTAATGATACAATTCCTTTCAAGACAGAAATTCAAACATTTATGAATGATACTTATAATGAATTTGAATTTTATCTTCAAGATGATAAAATTACTAATTTCACAGAAAAATGTCAAAAGGTATCTACATACATAGATTGGAGAGGCATGGATTATGTTAATTTGCTATTAAGTAAAAAAGAAAATTATAATATCTCATGCCTCGTTGAAGATTGGAATGAAAAACAAAATTCTTTTGAAACACGTGTACCTACAGAAGCAAATTCAACATGTAATATTGGAAAGTTTCATTATTGTCCTCTTTTGAATAAAAATAATAACTGCACTAGCCCTTATGAAAATAAAGATCTACCAATAAGCACAACATTAACATACAATCAACTCAATGATGATATATATTATATTAATAAATCTCAAATTATTGATCAAAGACGGTCTATGTTTTACAATCTTACTTATGATATATCTAATTACTATTTCGATGCATATAATGAAGATAAATCTGAACTTAATTGTGCAAAGTGGAGTATGTATATATATAAGAGAGGGAAGCTATTTGTTAATATGATGAACAATGAAATTCATTCCGAGGAGATTTATAGAAGGGATTCTATTAATGTATGGAATACTTTTAGTCAAAGTTTGCAACAATTTACATTAGAAGAGACACAAAATCGATGTGATATGACAGCATTAATTTATAAAATTAAAGAGAAAGAAAAATTAACTAAATCATATGATTTAGAATGGGTTCTTTCAGATAACAATATTAATGGATCTAATCCAACTCCAGGTGATACAATTTCATTATCAGATAACTCGCAGTCTTCAAGTGGAATTCCCAGTAAATCACATAATTTAACACCAAGCCCATTACATAATAATGATTATACATTTACTGGGGTAAAAAATAATAGTATGTCTACAAATACACAAGTAATTGATACTATACAACCATTAAAAGCAGAAAACCAAACTACACAAGAAACCATAACCACAACTTCTCCAGAAGTTACAGCACAACCTAATCTTTTATCCAAAGTTACTACACCTCAATATAACTCATATACAAGTAAAACTTCACCTTCAGATTCTCCCTTAAGTAGTATTGAGTCTTCCGCAAGTAATAATACACATTTTTCAGCAAAGAAAACTACACCTTCAGTTAGTATTCAGACTTCCACGGAGAGTAAAACTATTATCGCAACTGAGCATGGACTTTCACATGATAAGAATATCACTGAACCTAATGAAAATGGTACTATATCACTTTCTGTAAATAAATCATTATCTAATGCAGATAGCTATACCAGTTCTCCTACAATTATTCCTTCATCATCTACGAATGACTCTATATCTCAATTAACAGATAACACTATTCATTCTCCAACTAGTCCTAATGCTTCCAAAATTAGTAGTACATTTCCTACATCCTTATCTCCCTTGGAAGCTGTACCTTCTTCTAATGGCACTACATCTTTTCCATATAGTTCTACACCTCCTACGACTCTACCTACTCCTGAAACTAAAACTGAATTTTTCGCAAATAAATCTATATCTTCAAATGATACAATGGTACATTCTACTACCCCATCTAAATCCTTATTATTTCCAGTTGCAAATCCATCTCCTAGCACAATAACTGATTTTCCTATAACACATAGTAGTATAGCATCATTGGAAACAAATAATCCCATAACACAAAATCTACAAAATACACCAGCCTTTTTCAAACAAGATAGCCAAATTATACCTCTAAATATAACTCAAAATAATACAATAGGAAATAATGTAATTTCCATTCCTTCAGGTACCGCTTTTTTAAATAAATCTACCTTGCAACCCCCATTGGAAAATAATACTGAAGTTACACCTACAGTTAAAACTACAGGAAATGTGTTAATAACAATCGCTCCAATAGGTATAATCCTTTTAGGAATTATTCTCCTATTAATTCTTGTCTACAGAGTAAGATATAAATAATAATTAAAAATGAAAAAATATATAAGTTTAAAATACTAAATTTTTTAAGAAAATTTTTATAATTTTTTAATTTTTAATTTGAATTATAGTGCACTCCTATTGGATCTTGGTTACGCAATCGTAGATCAAAAAAAAAAAAAGTAAAAAAAAAGATTAAGAAAATTTCAAAGGAACCAATATTAATGTCTTCAAGTGATTTAAAGAATGAACCAATAAATAGTGGAAAATATTCGTTGTTGCACCAAGAAAATCATTTACCACTATGTGAGATTAGTTTTGAAAGTGAACAAAATTTGAAATATAGACAGACTAAAAAATTCAAGAAAAGTGAAAATAAACATATTGGTGAAGTTGTGGAATTGTCAATGTTAAAAAATGAACTTCCAATAAAAGAAGATAAATTAAATGAAGGTGATCCTAAAAATGAAATTGAAGAAGATGAATTGGATATGAATAAATCTACAAATAAAATTAAAAAAAAAAAATTAATTAAAAATGGATTAGAAAAAAATGCCGTTCATGTTGTAGGATATTCCAGAAATAATACATTAAATGATGAAGAAATAAATGAAATAAATGTAAAAACTGAAAAATTTCTGTATGAAAATGAATTGAAAAATTCAGGAAATAATGTGTCAATCAATAGTGAAGTGTGCAACTTGAATACAAGGAAAAATACATATATTATAACATTACTAGAGCATAAAAAAGAAGAATGGGAATGGATTAAAAATGAATTTTTAAGAATTTGCATAGAAGTGTTTGAGAAAGACGAAAAAACTACTTATCTAAAAGAAGCGGGCAATAATTTAATAAAGGAAAGAGAAGAAGAAAATAGTATAATTGTGACAGAAAAAAATAGAAGTATTCTAGATAAATGGAAAAAAGAAGAATGGTTCATTAATTTGAAAAAAGAATGGAAGAAAGAAGAAGAAAAACATTTAGCATATTTAGAAGAATATGAGATTGAAAATTTAACAGTGGAAGAAAAAAGTAATATAATGTTAGAAAAAAAGAAAAAAGCATGGAGAAAGTGGTTAGAAAAACAAAGAGAATATTCAAATGAATATAAAAAGCAGGATTGGTTTAGGAAGTTATTGGAAGAATATGAAATGGTTGGAATTTATAAAAATATAATGGAAGAAAAAATTGAAAAAATAAGTGTAAAAAAACAAGAGAATGAAATAAATAATGAAATAGTTAAATATGAAATGAAGAAAAGTTTGATACAAAAAATGTTAATAGATATATATATGATGGTATTAGAGGAATGTAAAAAGGAAGAATTGGAAAGAGAAAAAGATGAATTATTTAAAACAAACACAGAAGGATTAGGAATACAAAGAAATTTAGATGAAGAAGTAAATATAGTAAAAAAAATAGAAGAAGAAAGAAGATGGAATTGTTTATTAGAAAAAAAAAAAGAGGATATAGAAAAATGGAAAAGAGAAAGATGGTTTGTAGAGCTAATGCTAGAATGGAGTGATAATGAACAGAAATATTTAGAAGAATTAAATAAAAAAATGCTGGAAAAAAAAAATCAGGAAAGAATAACAAATATTGCTTTAGAAAGGCAGAAAATTGTATTGAAAAAACATTGGGATGATATTCGTAAAAAGTGGATAGAAAATGATAACAAAGAAGAATGGTTTACAAAATTGGTTGATGAAGTTGAAAGTAAAGAGAATGAATATAGAAGTGAAATTACTAAAAAGAATATAGAAATGAAAAAGGAAAATGAAAAAAATAGAGAAAAAGGTGAATCAATAAGAGAGATTAATAGAAAAGTAAAAGAAGTGAAAAAATATGAAAAGACTCATCTAGAAGATACAGATGAAAGGATTAATTCCATAATGATGAAAAAAAAATTAATGTGGAAGACTATAGTAGAAATACACATGATTGTATTAGAAGAATGTAAAAAAGAGGAGTGGATGTTGAATAGAGGAAAATTTTTAGAAGCCTGTTTAGAAGAATTTAAAAATGAAGATAAAGGAAAATATACAAAAAAAATAGAAAATGATTTAATATTAATTGGAGAAGAAGAAGAAAACATTAGTACAATAATGTTAGAGAAACAAAAACTCCTTTGGAAAAAATGGGTAGAAAGAAATAAAAGTATGTTAGAGAAATGGAAAAGAGAAGAATGGTTTATTAATTTAAAAAAAGAATGGGAAAATGAACAAAAANTAATGGGAGAAGAAGAAGAAAACATTAGTACAATAATGTTAGAGAAACAAAAACTCCTTTGGAAAAAATGGGTAGAAAGAAATAAAAGTATGTTAGAGAAATGGAAAAGAGAAGAATGGTTTATTAATTTGAAAGAAAAATGGGAAAAAGAACAAGAAGAATATGAGGAATTAACAAAAGAATCAGAAACCATAGAAATAGAAGCAGGAAAAAATCCTATGCTAGAGAAACAAAAAAGAATATGGAAACAATGGCTAAAAAAACAAAGAATGTGGTTTATAGAACATAGCGAGGACAAATGGTTTAATGATTTACTAGCTGAATATGAAAAAGAAGAATGTAAGGAAAGAATAACTAAAATAAATACGAGAAAAGTGAAGGAAATTCGTGAAAACATGGAGGAGTTAGAACAAGACGGAAACAATGAAATGAAGAAATCTAGAAAAAAGAAAAAGTTAATACAAAATGTGTTGATAGAAATACATATGATGGTATTAGATGAATGTAAAAAAGTGGAATGGGAAAGAGAAAAGGATGAATTTTTTAAAACAATTATGAATGAGGTAAGAATACAAGAAAATTTTGATGAAGAAGCAAATATATTAGAAAAAATAGAGGAAGAAGAAAGTTGAAATTATATATTAGAGAAAAAAAAAAGAGGAAATGGAAAAATGGAAAAAAAAAAAATGATTTGCATAGTTAGCATTAGAAATGAAAAATAATGAAAAAGAATATATGAAGGAAATAATTGAAGAAATGTTAGTAAAAAAGAACGAAAATATAGTAAAAAAAATTAGTGTTTGAAAGAAAGAATATTATGTGGAAAAAATATTTGGGAGATATTCATAGAAAGTGGACACAAAACAATAATAAAAATATGTATATAAAGCAAAAAAAAAAAATAAAAATTATGAAACTGAAGAAATGCATGAATCAATATAAAAAATTCTAGAAATGATCAATAAATTTTATTATTCATCTTCTTGAATATTTATTAATAAATAAATTTAAATATTTTTAGATGTTTAGTTACTGATTTATTGACTATTCATTGATTTCATTATAATATTGATTTGTTAATTTCTTGTTCAATAACTTTCCTAGTATTGAAAAAATGAATTAATAAAAAACATGTAGAAATTAGCCATGCTTATTTTATTAAGAATAAAATAAATTATTACATAATTCTTTTATTTACATTAATATTAAATTTTAGCTCTTTTATTTATTATTTAAGTTTATTTGTTCCATATAAATGTAATATTTAAAATTATATTTTTTAAGTTTTAATGAAAAAAAAAATAATATACATCGCATTACGAAAAAAAAAAATTATTTTTTTTTATTAAAAGAAACTTTTTTTTCTATTAAAAAATAAAACTATCATCATTTTTTTTTAATAAAATTTCTGTAGTTTTTAGGATTATGAAACTCAAAAAAAATTAAATATTATTTTTTATGATTTTAAATACACACAAAAAAAAAATAAATATAATATGTTACTTTTTTTTTAACGTGATGATTTTTTAATACTCCATTCAATGATGTTGTGATTTATTAATTAGCTATTTAAAGTAATTTATAGTGCTTTAGATAGTCAAATTAATTGAGTATGCAAAGTGATCCGTATTTGTCATTTTATTGTAAAAGTAGTTTATGTAAGTTATTTTATACTTATTATATAAATATCAATTTATAATAAATTTAATGCATTGGATCGTTAACTACCTATTCGGTGGTTTTGCTAGGGCACTAGATAAATATATTAATAAAGAGCATGTAAAATTATCTCTACTAATATAATGAATTTGTGAATAATTTTAAATGCTATAATATAACTGTATTTATGTAATCTACTTTGCTAAGCATTCTTTATTTTCAATAAACATTTGTTTACTTTAAGAAATATCCTTATTTAAGAATCCAAATACTTATGCAATATAGATCTTAACAAAATATATTTTAACTCATAATGTTGTGAATAATTTTAAGCAACTCAAGTCTGCTGATTCCATGTTAGCTAACATAAATAATTAATTAGATGCAATTAAATTATATAGATACTACAAACATGTATATTTTATTATTATGTATGTAAAATTTATTCATAAAAAAGAAACTAAAAATAAAAATTAATTGCAAAGAAACTCTCTCAAAAATAAATTATTTTTCATTTCTTTCGAACAATATTTTTTCTCAACCATAAAATTTTTTTTTTTATTTATCCAGTGCTTGCATGTCTAACTTCATGTTTTCCAAACAGTTAGATATTTTAATTCTCAATAAAAATTAATAATTCCCATTGTTAACCACACATCTATTATTAAATTCACAGTTTTTAACATACTTATTAGTAGTTTCCACACAAAACTATTAAAAATTGTTACGTTTACACATCTCCTAAAAATAAATTATAAAAATAAAATTATTTCTTTTTTAAAAATGAAAATGCATATATAATATTTTTTTATGAAATTTTTACTAAAATATTCATTTATTGATCTACTATTCAATGACTTTGTTAGAATATTGAACAAAAAAATTAATAAAGAGTATGTAGAATTATACTAATTTAATGAGTTTATGTATGATTTTAATGCTATAAACAGGTAAATTTTTTACATATGAATAGCCTATTTCATTGAGCATTTGCTGTTATTAAGAGACATTTATTTGCCTTAATAAAAATCTTATATTTTTATTAAAAATTTAAATCATTAGTTATTTATTTTCGTTATATATATCTTATTTATAATAGCACGAATAGTTTTTAGAAATTCAAATATATTCCTCTCAAATTAATAAACATTAATAATTAACAAAACATAGAATAAAATATATAAATACTACAATACATGAAAATTTTATTGTTATATGTATAAAATTTTCTCTTACAAAATTAAAAAAATCTTTTTTTTTTTTTTTTTTTTTATCGTATTCTTATTGGTAACAAATCTTTTTCCAATTGATTTTTTTTTATCAAAATTTTTCCTGGCGATCTTTGTACTTTTTTTTAAAAAAAAGTACAAACAAAAAAAAAGTGATCATGATTTTTTTTTTTTTTTGTATGTGCATGACCAACTTCGTGTTCTTCATTTAATTAGTCCTTTTATTTTACAAAAAGTTTAATAAAGCCTTTAATTAACCAACATGCACTTTATTAATCTGTTCAATATTATAGCAGAATGATTAATAAAAAGGATTATGAACCTTTTGAGGATAAAACGTGATAGTTATACGGAAAATAAATAACCATACAAGCGTTAGATTAAAAAAAAAAAGGCTGAAAAGATAAAAAGAAAAACAAAAAAAAATATATAAGTATTTTTTTTCTTTTTAACAAAAGAGTTTCTTCTGCATGTAATTTATATTATGAATTTTAAAGAGATATTTTAAGAAAAGAAGTATAATAAAATTTTCATGTGTTTACTATTTATATAATTTCAATTTGTATTTTATTAATTGTGTACGTTTGTTAATTTTAATACAATGTAATTAAGTGTTAAACATTATTTGTAACATTTTAATTAAAAATATATGTAAGTACAAATAAATAATTAATAAGAATTTATGTCTTTAATAAGAATAATGCAATTCTTTTTAAATTAATGAGTACCTCTTAAAACCTAATAAATACTCAATGAAATAGACCATATATAACGCGCTTTACTGGTTTACAACATTAAAATTATATTTAAATTCATTAAATCCGTTGAAGCAACTCTACATGTAATTTACTAATTTATTTGTTTAGTACTCTAGCAAAGTTATCGAACAGTCAACAAATTATTCACAAAGTCATTCAATAAGAAATATAAAAATAATAAACCAAGTATTAAACATACAATGTAATAAAAACCATGTATAATGGATTTTATTAATTTTAACTGGTTTAAGAAAATATATATTCTATAATTAAGTTTTATACATATTGATTATATAATTGGTTAATAATGGACTTTATTAACCTTTTTTAGAATAATAATTATCCATACAAGCATTGGATAAAAAAAAAAAAATTAGTCAACTTTTTTTTATAAATTTTTTTTTTTTGAAGGAGAAATAATTAGTTTTGAGAATTGATGAATAATTTTAGGTTATTAAAATTTAATTTTTGTGATGCATATAATTTTTGAGAATTAATTCTGATTATTATTTGAAAAAGAAAATGTTATATTAACACTAATTAATTTTTCATGTTTTTTTTATTTATGTAAGTTAATTTTGTGTTCTAATAATTACTCATTTATATTAAAAGAAAGATATGAATTTCTAAACATCGTACATAACATCATAAATAAGGCATGTTAAATTAAATATCGATAATTAATGAGAATTTTAATTATTAGTAAAAGTATAGGATTTTGGTTAAAGTAAATAAATATTTCTTAAAAATAAATGTTCATTGAAGTAGGTTACATATATAAATTTTACTAGTTTGCAGAATTAAAATTAAGTTTAAATTAATTAAATTAGTGAAGGTAACTATACATAATTCTTATTAATCCTTTTGTTCAACACTCTTTCAAATCATTGATCTGCAATTAATAAATCGATAAATGAGCATTTATGATTTTTTGAGGAATTTATTAATTTAATAAAAATTGTCCTTATTCTTACTAAAAATCTAAATCTTCTTTAAAATTATTTATTGTGTGTAAAATATTCTTTTAAAATAAATTAACAAAATTAAAATTAGAGTTACTGTTTTTTAAAAATATATAAAAATTAAATAACAATAATAAAAAAAAGCCTTTTTCTTCTTCTTTTTCTTTTTAAAGTTTTAATTTATTTTTTGTTAGCTTAAAAATTAGATCAACTGATAAAATTCAACAGAACATTTATAGCCATAGAGTAAAATATATAAAATAAAAATAATCAATAGCCTTTTTTTTTTTTTATTTAATGAATGTTCATGCCATTCTATTTTCTCTATAAGATTCTATTGTTTCATATAAACTTATTAATATTTTTTATTAAAAAATAGATAAACGTTTATTGTTTCAGAAGTATTTTCTTACTTTATTGAAAATTTATCCATATTTTGATTAAAACTTTAATCATCTTTAAAATTGTCGATCACTTGTAAAATAAATTTTTTTAAAGAGACATCATAATTTTAATTAAAGTTATTAAAAGTAAATGAATATTAAATATTAATAAAAATAATATATTTTTTATATTTCTTTAAAATGTTCATATAATTTTTAATTATTCTTAGATCAATTCAACTTACAAAATTTAATATCTAAATAAATAAAAATCCCTTCAATAACTCAAAAAAACAATTTTTTTTCTTTTTTTTTAATTAAAATCAAGTAATAAACAACTAATAAAAACATTTAACAATAAAAATAAGATTCTTTTTTCTTTTGTTAGAAATTTTCTGAGATATATAACATATTTTCCATGTTATGTTTTAATATTCTATAAGAGGTTAATAATATCTTTTATTAAACACTACATTACTGCAAAAACCGGTTAATATAATTATTGTTAATAAAATTTCTGAAGTGTTTTGAATTTATTGTTGTAATTCATGTTGATAATTTTATCTTACGATTTTTTTCTATATCAAGAAGTCCAGTGTTTTTAAGTGCATATGTAATATAAAAATAAGTTAGTGTAGTTT